CCCTAATCTGTAAGCCTAATCTTGCCTTCCTCTGTATCACAAGGTAAAGTGGTGGCAAGCATATTAGTGCTTCAATTGTTGATGTGGGGATTGTACTCCTTGCCCCCGTTATTCCAAGACAGGTGAGTATCTTGCTTAGTCTCGGTATTTCTGCTCTTTGTTGTGTTTGACATCCACAAGAAAGCTATGGTATTAACACTCTTACCAGCATATTTAATGTCCAATATACCATACCTGGTTTCAATCCCCATTTTTTTTTCAAAGGAACATCTTGCTATCACTAGTGATGTTTCTGCTTTCCTTGTTGTTCTTTCCAAAACCTGAATCCATGTAAGTTTGGAGTAAATTGAAACCTTGAGATAAACTTTACCTCCTCATCCTTTAGTTGGATATTTTCACTTTGGAGGTTTAGCGGTTCTAGTCCCTCTAACTTTCTTCTGCGCGTGAATGCAATTATGGTAGATTTCTAGGGACTAATATTTAGTCCTTCCTCTCTTTTCCGTTTTGTTACTACGTCTAGAGCAGCCATACTCAACCTTTTTTTCCTTCGGGCCACATACGTATATTTGCCATGTTACACGGGCCGCAATATTTTTGAATGATGACTCTTTATTTAGGCCCTCCATTTAAAATTAGTTAGTGGGAATCTCTACTAAATAAAATGTAAACATAAATATATCCTATCGGTTTACTGCAAAAACAAGATAACTCACATTTTTAGAGTTTCGAGAAAACGCTTTCAAAAGGTTAAAATTTAACCCCTGTGTTAAAAAATGGTACACACGGTTTTTTACATATACCAACATTTGAATTTTTTCATTTTTTTTATCTGACAATTGTGTGTAGCAGAAAAAAAAAACAGTTAATGCATAAGAACTTCTCACTACATACCTGGCATGATGTATTTACTCTCTTCGAATACTTAATTATTATCTTCCATTTCTTTCGCTAAGTGTTTTGTAGCACTTAGTGCATCTTCCTCTCTTATTTTCATCAGAAAGTTTATGGTTGTTTTCAGGTTTTCTTGCCTTATTTGTCTGCATTTGACGAATGTGGAATTTTTCAAAAATTTTGTTCATCATATGTGTTCACGCGTGTATAGTTTCATAAAAGTACCTAAAGTTTCGTCCATCTATTGACGACATGCGAAACTGTTCCGCCAGAATTTATCCACGACCTGAACCAACCGTTATAAACATTTCTAAACTTCATGTACTCGTAGTTGTGTTTGTAAAGTGTACACACCAGATAGAATCAATGCATGTTTTGTGCCCATATAGAGACACACAGTTTGTTGGTAAATACTTATTGTGTACCACTTATGGTACGCACAGTTTGTTGGGAAAAGCTACAAAAAGTAGCTCGGTTTGTAGTAAAAGATATAAAATATTTGCCCAAAAAAACTAGTCTTCACAAAGTATAAACTAAGAATTTGTCGAAAAACTAAGAATTTGTCGAAAAACTTCACTTTGCTTATTTTAGTTGTCTACATACAGGTCATAATATTCAATGTCTGTGTTACTATCTTCAATAGAAGGTTCAGGTACAATGTCTAGCACCTGATTTGCAAAGTTTTAGTAAATCTTCACATTACTAATGTCTTGCACTTTTTGTAAGTATTTTCAGAGCTATTTTTGTCACCCTTTCAGGCATCCCTCTGCCGGTATGGCTCGGGTTTTTCAAGCAATGCGAAAGCTGGTGTTTCGTTGATTTAAGAAGTGTTAACGTCAGCATCCCCGCTCGTTACACTTTGACCAATTACTCGATACGTCTTGACCAATCAATCATTCACCACGGCGATTCGGGCATAACGTGTTATAATTCATTGGTTTTTGAAGGTTAGCTGTATTGTGGAAAGAAAGGGTGACATAATCATCTTGTCGGACCAATCGAGAAAGGTAAGAGACTGCTTGCCTTGGGCAAAATGTTTAAGTATTTCAATAAATATATTCAAAAAAAAAATAGGTGTTCTGGTCTTTGTCTTGTTTTGGCAAAAACACTATTAGGAAATTAGCAACTGAATACATTGTCATGATTATATTTCTGTATAAATGTCTTTCATCTTGTTTGTGCATATTATGAATACATTAATATGGGGTTATTGGCCATCTGTTTATCATGAATACAGACTTCGTTCACACTTGTTTTGTTTATGCCGTATATTATTTGAACTATTTTGGAGACGAAAATTCCGAAAGTGGAGCTATCTTGTTCTTACAGTAACCCCCTATGATCCAAACGTTTCTTTAAAAATTAGCGCGATAGTTAGGGCAGCGACCGATGAGTATTTTTACACATTTTGTTCAAAATTTTAAAAACAGAAACCTATAGTTTTAAAAAGAACCTTCTTAATAATATTGTTTCGGGCCGCAAAAAAAGCTTGGAGGGCCGCATGCGGCCCGCGGGCCACAGGTTGAGTATGGCTGGTTTAGAGCCTCTTGCATACTATCTCTAACTGTAGTGTTCTATTTACCCTGTGCCATGATCACTAGATCATCGGCATATCCCAGGGATTTATATCTATTATGTATCATTCTCCCTTTTAGCATATAGTCAATCCAGGTCACACGTGTCCTCAATTCCTCTGTTTCAGAAGAGTCGACGGAGGTGTTGTCAATTGTTCCCTCGATGTTAAAGAAAGCTCCTAACCTAATTTGTTTTCTAGTGTGATCTCAACCCTTTTTACTAATTGATGGAGAGCTATTTCTGTTGTTTCCTGCACTATAGGCGTATTGGGCCTGTTTATTGATATTTGAACCAATATCCCGTCTCTAATATGTATATCTAGTAGTTTATGTAATGTTTTGAGTACGAATGACATTAGAATTATTTTTGGTCTTAGGCCCGTTTTCATAAACTTAGTCAGACACAGCTGAGTCGTCCTTGAACGAAAATCAAAGTTCGGTTATAACTTTTCTATAGTTCCAGGTGGCTCGAGTGTTGCACTGGAATTTAGAGATGGACATTAGCAAATCCGTAACATTTACGGATTTGTAAATTCACGCTAAATAATTAAACTTGGATTTTTTATGGACCTCTTAGCTGAGTCCGAATCACCTAAGATCGATTTGTTGTTCCCTGCAGATTTGACTAGGTTTTTGCAAAAGCAAGTTTGCTACAGGTCCTCTTTGTAGCATTATTGGGCAAATCCCGTCAATTCCCGGTTATTTATATGGTTCAAATGAATTGATTGTCCATTTCAGTTTGTCGGATACTTAACAAGAAGCCGAAGAATTGTACGATACGACATGCATGAAGACCTTCTTTAAAAAGAATGTTGATGGATCACATATTATAATTTTAAGATGATTCCGGAGACCATCATTCAAATGTAAGGAAAAATCAAATTTCTGACCTATCTGTTATGGATGAAAGTTGTCAAAATTACTGCGTCATAGGTTCCTATAAGATCAATAAATAAAATTGAGATTTACTAAAATATATTGTATAATATTTGACACATGTGGAAATAATGTGAGATACTCACTGACATCTTGACAATTTTGTATTTTTTAAAGACTTGTTCAGATGGTAACACTAAATATCGTGGCATCAAATTCCGTAATGGTGCCATCGTCTGAATCATTGAATGTACGCTTTGATGTCGTGACGTTAATGTCATAAAGGATGGATAGAAGTTGAACATGCGCATGTCCGTAAATACGTCAAACTGGCATATGTAAATTGTCAATGGATTAATGGTGGTTGATTGTTTTAATTGGTTGTAGTGCACATTTTAATACATTTTTATTATATTTAGGAACTAGTTTTCTTCTTTCATTTATTGTGTGATATTTTATTCAAACAGACAAAAGGACAAGTTGTGTTGAAGTTACTTTTCTCAGTGTAGAAATAGGCGGGAAAACTTCAATGTTAATAAAAATCTGACCACTCCGACATCAAAGGAGCCGACTCAAGCTGTCTCTACCCTAAGCAAGATTTATAACAACCAAACGTTCTTATCCGCTGTAGTGAACACACAAGACATGAAAAATTTTAAATCTTTCATACTATGATGTACGTCTGGCGGTCGCTGGCTCTACACAATAATGTTTGATCGTCAGTGTCGTATCCTAGGATAAAAATAATAGCAATATAGCAATAAATTGGTACCGGTGGAACAGGACAATAATATGTATTTAAGGACTATACATAATTATTTAAACAAGTATCCCAAATCATAATTCTACAAATTTCAAGAGAATTTCAATAGCTATTGACAATTTATTGTACTATTTACATGAATATGTGAAATTGTTAACATTATAAAATAATTTTCTACGCTAATGGGTTGCGCTGACTTGATTAGCAAAACTGTCAAATCCTGTGTATGAAGTGGGAGAACCACGAAAGACCTGTTCAACTTCTGTCTGCCTTCTGTATCAAAATTGTTTCTGATATATGACAGCGTGACACTTGTGGCCACATAAATCGAAGTATGTGCTTGTGGCACTAACATCCACATACTTTATCGAAGTATGTGCTTGTGGCACTAACATCGAATACCCCGCCCATTTTCATCATCTGAACGTCGGTGACATGAGGTCTTTTCCTTTGCATCGAAAGTGTAGCACTAAGCTATGCCGCTTCTGAAAATATCGTTCTATCCATACATTTTGTATAAATGGAACGATATTTTCGAAGTGGTGTAGCTCAGTGCTACACTTTCGATGCAAAGGAAAAGACCTTTTACAGTATGACACTAAACCACAGATTAGGTGAACAATACAGACAAAAAGTAACAGCACTTTGAAGTAGAAGTTATCATCTCTGGTAGAAGTTATAGAAATCTCTAACTTGCTCTAATATTCAGTTCCATCATAGAGGTACACTGAGAAAACTAATGCACGTGAACATAAACTATTCATTGAAACTACACTGTGAAAACTAGGTACATTTATTTCTTTTGCACTTTTTCCGTATTGTTCATCTATTCTGCGACTACATAATGTTTTTTAGAAGTTGTGGCATATATTTGTTTGCTGTTATCATGTGCTTACTTTTTTGGAATGTTGCAAACGTTCCTTGTCTATGGGATAAGTCAATTCCAGAATAAATATAGAAGAAGCACTTTCAAACATTTTCAAAATAAAAAACATGAAAGCATTAAGAACAACTTCAAAATAATTATTTTTTACCGCAGATATGAGTTCCGCCAGTTTTTTACTCTAATGGAAGTAAATGTCGCGACACTCCGTGTGTGAGTGTGAGCACCTAATGCCGTGATATCAAATGCCGAATACTGTCATAGCATAAGATGCCATCGAGGGGTAAACCACTAAGGTCAAAACGTAACCGTATTTCGGAAATCACGAAAAATTCGGATGATTTCGGTGATTTCACCCAAATCGTAAAAGAATATATATAATTTCGCTGAAATCACCTTTAATTTCATACGATTTCGGCGGTTTCGACGAAATCATCACATATAATTTCTAATGAATTAGAGGAGAAAATATAAATATAAATTTTCTTAAGGAATATTCAAAATACTTTTCATGTCTTTCACTTGATTTTTTGTTCTACCACCTGTTACCCACATAGCACACGGGCGTCTTATGGACGTCTAAAAGACGTCTTTCAGGGACATAAGGAACGTCCGAGGGACGTCCTCTTTTGGTACCGGGACGTCAATCGGACGTCCTAATGTCCCATTTCCGTCCATCTTAGGGACGTCCCATGGACATCCCAAAAGGACGTCATAGGGAATCAGACGTCCGAGGGACAATATTTGACCATAATCCATAAAGGGTAATAATAACAAAAATGTTAACATTAAAAGGGCTTTATTTAACAACTTTTATCCTAAGAAAACTAGCTAGAGTTAAACTTTTTCAGTTTGCAAAACAAACAGGAATGAATTCAATTTAACACACAGCAGTAATATGAAACCTTGGGTTCTACTTATAGCTTGTGTCGACATAACTGAGTTTTATAATTTTGTTCCAACTTTCCGCCATTAAGGTATTTTCTTTCCGTCAGCAGCTACCGCCAATACACATCACTTAATTCTCACCTCAACACAAAACACTCACTTCACTTTATAACCTCTTTACCACCAACATCAAAAAATAACAAATAACATTATATAACCTTTTTTTCTTCGCTAATCTAACTCACTTATATAAGGTAATTATTTAATGCCGAAAATTGTAGCTGTTGTTGTTCATTTGAAAATAAATGATACATTAGGTTTTCTGTCCTCATACTCTTGCAAAAACAAAACGTTGAATTTCAAGTTATCGATTCAACGATGCTAGTACATAGGAAGTCCCATAGATGTCCCATAGACGCCCTGGACTCGGACCGAAAACTAAACGCTTTGTCGAAAGGGGACCAAAATAGGATGTACAGAGGACGTCCGTCGAAGGACGTCCTAGTGTTCACGGTAATCGGAAGTTCAATGGACGTCCTATTTAGGTCCGGGACCAACAAGGGACCAAATCAGGACGTCCATGGGACGTCCTGTGCTATCTGAGTATATTTCGGCGCGAAAAATTTATTTCGAAGTGATTTCGGTGATGATTTCTGGATTTCCATGATGATTTCGGAGACTTTGTAGCGATCCTGTGATTTCGAGTGAAACGTACCAGTATTTTGGGAGTGGTTTACCCCTTGGATGCCACAATATCAATGTCACCGTCTGAACGAGTCTTTGTTCCAATTTTTGTGCTGTTGTATATTTAAGTTTAATGTAACCTACAATATTTAAGTTATAGAATAGTTTAATAGCTACTAAATTGACAAACCATCAATTAAAACATTAGAAACTTAGAGTGAGCATAATGCCGTTATTATCAGTAATGTGATACAATATAATAGATTTCCAGCGAAGTGCTTAATAGTTTGTAATCTAAATATTTGACAAAATGAAACGGCCAAATACAAGACCGGGTACCTAAGAATTTTTAACATTTTTTAAAAAATAAAAAAAAAACCTGAAAACAGCAATATTTTTCTATCAAAATCGTTTAATTTATTATTTTTTAGACAAATTTATAGTTAAAGCCAATGAAATTCAAAGGGAACAGTTTAAGACTTAAATCACTTTATAAAATCAACTTTGAATAACAAATATATCGTAAATTTTATGTCTGACATTGATTGGCTAGATAAAAACAAAAAACCATTAAATAAAAATTCATTATCTCACCTCTCGTTATATCAAAGGTCGTCAGAGAAATGCTGCTTGTGTTCGGTTTTGGTAAAGGATCCTGAGGTGCGAATTTCTTAATTTTAGCATTAATATATTGAAGTAACTTACTTTTTATGATATTTTAACTGAAATTAAATATAGAAGGATACGTTTCATTTGCTATTTTTATTTATATTATAATAAAATGCAATATTTGGACTGATTTAACCTAACTTTTCATCATTTCCTTCCATAAAACCTAAAATAAAGTGATTCATGATATTGATTTTTATCACTGATAATTTCCAAGTTTAAGATTTCTGTTTGAATAAGAAGAAAATAAGTTATAGGTGAAAATATAATCTGTTATGTGAGACATTTCAATTTGAACTGTGTCCAGGCCGTTGGAGTCTATGCCGGTAGGCGTAGCCAGGTACGGGAAGTCGTTGTTTCGTTTTGAGTGAGAGAAAATTTAATAAAGTTGTCTAGGCATTACATGTTAAGTGATTTAATTAATTTCACTTTTTAATTTTGTATGTAGTTTTTTTGAGCTGCATTCTTAAAATTAATTTGGTTGATATATTAATTTTTTCATCTTATATACGATTATTACCGTACTTATATTTTTGAAGCAAACGAAAAATTTATGATTATAAATTTATAAATAATCCTTAAACTTATAATTTTATTAACAACTTGGTAACGTTTATTATTTCTAAGACAGAAACGTCAGAAACTGTCATTTAGAGTAATTGTTTTGTGATTATAACCTGTAAAATTGGGATTTTTAATTCAATTTTTTTCGATAAATACTGCTTTCCATAAATTTATGGATTTGTCACTGGAACTTTAGAACAGTTATATTCGATTTTCATTCAAAAAAGCACCCAGCCAAGCATTTTTACTAAGTACGGTTTATAAATATGGACCTTTTAAGAAGTTCTTTTTGCACATTTTGTGAGGTTAGAGGTTAAAGTATTTAGGCGGTCACTGTGTCTGTTTTTTTTAATTAGTTACATAGGAAGTTAAAACGATGAAAATTAAAATCTTCTAATTATTCTTAGCCACCTAAAAACAACTTCAATGGCGTTATAACGTGTCAGACATAAAATTTACGCGGCACGATATTTTTTAAAATATTTATGGTATTTCGCTGTTTCATAGCCATTTTTAGAAAATATATAGGTACCTACATGTTAGGATGAGAGTTACTGCAAATATTAACTTATCTAAGGCCTAAAATAGTGCTTATAAATATATTTGAAATTAAGTTAAGTACAGCACTAGTAAATGATAAATCCTGACGATTTGAATTCTAAACCTTTTCAATAAAATTACTACTTCCACACGGTGTCCACGGATGAATACTTGTAAAAATATTAATTTTAATTTTTTAAAGCGCTTAAATGAGGAGCTTGCAAGAAGAAATCGAAAAGTCGAATGATATATTTTTATGTCCATTCTTGTTACTAAGATATTTATTTGATATTGAATAGTATATTCTTCAACGAGCATAGAATAATAGCCATATTCTATGCGAGTTGAAGACTATACTTTCTCCACGACTATTATAGACTGTTATACAGTGTGATCTCAAAATCTAAACATTTTATATAGTTGAGATTTTGGCAAGGAATAACAAAAGATCAAATAACTAAGTAAGCGTAGTGTTTTAAAGAGATTTTTATTGTTAAATAAATTAGTTAACTACATTGATAATAGAGGTAGGTACTTAACAAAACTATGAAAATTAAAGTTAAGCAACGATAATTCTTGTATTTATGAACAATTCATGTGAACTTATAAATTCTAAATGTGGACAATATATAAAAAGTTTGAAAATTACCTTAAGGGATTCAATATCATATGTTTTTCATTTATAAGACATATGTATTTTTTACATATTTATGAAATTGTTTTCAAATAAACTAATATTGATTAATAAAACTAAACTAATGTTGATAAAAATGCAATATTTGCTGACACATAAATATTCAGACACGTTAGTAAAACAAATAATAGCAAGCCATGGAAACAAAAAAAAGTGTTTCTATTTTGACATTTTAACTTGAGAATTAATTCGATTATCAATTGGCTCCAAAATGTCGCGTGGTAAAGCAACAAATGGTGCAATTAGAGAATTAATAGTAAAACTGTTAAACCAAGGAAAAACCTTTCGGGATATTGCTAAACAAATAAATGTCGCAAAGCCCACGGTGTCAGATACTGTGAAAAAATATGGAGAAACGGGTTCAACTCAAATTTCAAGACATGGTGCTGGTCGGCTACGCAAAGTCACTTCCCTAATGCAAAGATCTCTTGTTCGGATTTGTAAAACTGATCGCCGAAGTACTGTAAGGGAAATAACAGCAAAATGGAAAAATAATTGGAAATGTTTCACGAGAAACGTTTCGTCGCTGGATCCATAAGTCTGGTTTACATTTTTATGAGGTACGTAGGTTACGTTTAAGGAAAAACAAAAGAAAAGACGATTAGCGTGGGCAAAGGAACGGGCAATGTGGACTTTTGAAGACTGGATGAATCAAAATTTGATGTTTGCGTGGGTGACCATCGAACACGTGTTATAAGAAACAAAAATAAAGCCTTTCACAAATACTGCCTAAAGAGAAAAATAAAATTTCCATCAGGTGTTATGGTATGGGGAAGCATGTCTGGTTTTAGTGTTGGAAAACTGCACTTTATAGACGGAATTGTAAACGCAGAAAAATATCAGAACATTCTTGAAACCAATTTGTTAGTGTCAATTCCAATTTTATCACCTGATGGAAACTTCACTTTTCAACAAGATGGCGCCTCTTGCCATACAGCCAAGACCACAAGAAAGTGGCTGCAGGACAACAATATTTTCGTCCTTGACTGGCCCTCCAGTAGCCCTGATCTAAATATAATCGAAAGTGTATGGCAATTAAGAAATGATCCACAGCG